GGGGGGAGAGGTGGGGGTTGGTTGGTCTGCAGGCCCCAGCAGGCAGAGTGAATAATTAAGTAAGCGAAGCAGAGTACCAAGCTGGGTGTTTTGTTACCCCCACTCTCACTCAGCACAAGCATACAGCATTAGATAACCCCATCTATCCACGTGTGTGTGCGTGCATGTGCAGTTGGCTACTTTAGATGATTCAACCATTTGATACCTACAAAAGCCTCTTGCTGCTTGGTAACAATTCCAGACAGAAAGCCTATACATCCCCTATCACACTGAGACTGGCTGCATCAACTGCTGCAATCAGCATCGGCCTCGTCTGGGCTCAAAAACATGAATCGCATGCGCTCCTCTGTTCAATACTGCTGCACAGTGGCATCGAGCGCATGTAACAGTTTATAACGATATGATTTTGTTTTTCTTATTCTTGTATATTTTAGTTTGGCGAGAAATTATATGCGACACTATAGGAAGCGTGGAAAAAAAGTTTCAGTCATCTCTGCAAACAAAATATGCTTTTTTTTATTCAGCATTAGCATTTTGTTTACAATCTATGTACAACATGGACACACATGACAGAACAAGTGAGGACTTTTTTTTTTTTTTTGCCTAGATTTAAAATGAAAGTAAAATAATGTCGAACTAACTACAGTGAAGTGAGGACAGGTAAGGACGGCGCAAAAGACGGCAAAATACACAAGGAATTAAAGAGAAAGACAAAGATGTGGACAAAGGGAACAAGCTAGTACACTACAGAAAACAGAGCAATGATCAGTTATTCAAGCAGGTAAAATATAGACATCACAAGAACAGATACACTCGACTTTATATTTACTGAAACATAAAGTTGGGACATTTAAGTATGTAGGGTACAACATTATTAATACTGAAAAACTAAAAAAAAAACAAAAAAAAAACAACCATCTTTACAAACATTTTCTCTTCAGATCCTGTTCATAGCTTGCGTAGCACCAGCAGGCCCATCAGCCATACCCATCATGGGCTGGGTTGGGCTGTGCAAGTGATGTTATAGCTCACAGAGAAAGGAAGGTCATAAAACTTCTCTGAAATATAGTATTTGTGAACATTTTGGTTGGATGTTAAGTTCTTAACAACGTTGACTAGGTTAAATGTTCCGTTGCCATTACATTAAGGTTGTTGTTGTTGGTAAACAGTCCCTCTGCTATGATTCCATCCATAAAAAAAGGTAGAAGAACAAGAAGAAGCACAGTATGTGTAGCATGGTAGTTTGATAAATCAACTAAAGATCCCACGTTCATGATTTTTTTTCTGCTCCTATGCCTACGAGCACCTTCTAAAATACAAATTAGAAGGATAATGAAACCCTGCAGACTCTAAAGATGATCTTCGACTGGCCTTGTACTTTGAACTCAGCAAAAGAGAATTTCCCCACAGGGACAGTTATCACTTTGACACATCATTATTCATTGTAAATGAGGGGTTTATTTCTATAGTTTGAACTATGTCAATCCTTTTTTCCCTTTTAAATACCTCTCTGTTACCTGCATTTACAATTAGCAGGCACAGTGGCAAAAATTAAAAGAGTAGAAATAGTGACAATAGTTAAGTCATATACAGTCATGGCCAGAGTTTTGGATAGTTTTGACTTGACTCTTCAAGATTCAGCTCAAGTGCAGTTATTGAATCATCAAAGGGTTAAACAAAAATACTGCATGAACAACTAAAGAATTAAAACCTTTTTTCAATGCAGTTTCTTATTTTCAAGATCTCAGATATAATTGAAAAGGATGGGTGTGAGGTATTTTTTTTGTTCCTCTTCCCATAAATTTAGCAGGTAAAAATAGATTTCAAGCATGGAATTTGCATTTGGAAACCATAGCTGTGAAATGAGGTCAAAAGGAATCTCAATAAAACTGAAACAGGCCTCATTCAAGGTCCCAAAACAAAGCAAATTCATTAGATACACAAAGAAAAACCAGGGTTTTGGTGAAGAGGAAAATAAGCCTGGATGCTAAATGAAGGCAACAGGTGTATGATCCCAGGATCCTTTATACAATAAAAACACCAAAACCAGAAGAAACCAACCAAACTTCATAAAAACTATTAGAAAAGTCAGACCACTTCTGGAATTGCACTCTTCAACAGGTTGGAACTTAGAGCGGACCATGTCCAGAATGATGAAAAGACAAAAAAAAAAGATACACGATATTTGGGACAACTCACAACAAATAACATAACATGGTAAGGCCAATATAATGAATGGGCTTGAGTGGTTTCAAGTGGCTCTGGGTCACTAGTATTTACTGATGATGGGACAGTCTAAAGTCAACAGATCGATACTTTCTGCTCATATTTAGCCAAATGCAGCAAAGCTGACTGGACAGCAAGGGTAACTGTTCAGACGGACAATGACCGAAAGCATGTTGTGAAATGAACCCAGTTTTTGAAGTTAATGACCTGGAATATTGTGCAATCACTGAAGCGGCCCTCTGATCTCAACCTGATTAAGCTGCATTTCACTTCCAAAGCAAACCTAAAGACTGAAGACAATAACTGAAAAAAACCTTAGACATGTCCATGGGTTCTAGGCATCAGTAGAGTGCAAGTCATTTTTAACCGTTTATTAAAAGAATGACTATTTTATTTTACTAATTATATTTGAGCCCTAGAAAACAGGCTAAAACTGTTGTACTTTGACAGTTAATGCAGCATTTTTGTTCAGACCCCTGAATTAAAACAAAGCCTCCACTTGAACTGATATTGTTATTTTGCTATTGTGAGTGCCACTGTTCAAACACCACACGTGAACCACATCTGTTGTGCTTCATTCATACACCCATCCTAGTCCAGAACAACCACACACACGTATTCAAGCACACTGCGTACCCATAAATCTGTGTAACTGTGTGCAGAATGTGAATAACTTGCACTCAGAATTAATATAATTACAGAAGGTAAGTTTGCACATAAACCTCAACAGTATTTCTAAAAGATTTACAGAAGTGAAGCGCTGAATGGAAATCTACCTGAACGGAATAATTTAAAAACATCTGTAACACATTAGAATTAAAACATTTATTAACAAATCATTAACAGCTGAATCATAGTTGAATGATGTACAAAGTGAAGTGTAGCACTGGAAATGACAAGTAATAAATGTTTATCAAAAAAGAGGAGAGAGAGATGAGGGCTGCAGAATTAAAATATGGGGCTGATGATGCAACTAATCATGAGTGCAACTAATGCCCAGACTCCTCCCCTCACTACATGAGCTTAAGTAGCTTTCTGATCTTGCTTTGCCTGTTCATAATATTGTAATATCGTTACTGCAGAAAAAAAAAACATGATCACCTTTTCACAAGGACAAGCCACATAGAGTTCGGCAGAGTCGCTCTCTACCACAACAAAAGTCAGTCAAGAGATAATGCAAAGACCGCACAGCTAAGTGCAGTCACAAGTTGGCACCACCTTGTGAAAAGGGAAAACAGTGCATGAACAAACTGGCCAGCCTGAAGACAACAGTACATTCTGTGGATAATGCAATTAAAGAACACGCAGACTGGGCCATACTCACGCTGACTGCTGCCATCAGCTGTTTCTTTGTTTGTTTGTTTCACGAGTATGAAGGACAAGGGTGGAGTGCAGATGTGGGCTAAGGATTCGGAGTGTACATGGTGCTGTCACACCGACCGAGATATGAAATAAATTAAAAATAAGACGCGTTAAAAAGTCTGATCATTAAAATGCATTTGTACAGTAATAAATAGTTTTACCCTCTATTTACAGTTCACCAAACACTTGGAGTTTGCAGTTAAAAACATTTAATGCTAAATCTTTCAAAAGCCATCTTAATTTGTTTTGTTTTGATTTTTCGAGGATGAGAGGGTTGGCGCTCAAGATTCCCCCTCTTCATCATCCTTCCACTGGTAAGGAAGGCAGGAAGACAGAGAACAGGCAGGAAAGAAGACGCACGGGTAGAAATGATGTCCCCAAATATGTCTTTCCTGTGTTTCATCCTCAAAGAATTCCCAAATTTAATGATGTATTGCTGCACCTGCTGTTGTGGTTGTTAAAGTTTTTGTTAAATATACCTCATTACACACACACACACAGACACACATTCACCCATATTCAGACACACACACAGATTTTGAGCACCCGATGTCTTGCTCTGTCCTCACACAACGCATTGTGTATCCTTTCCACAGCCTCTTGCTTGTTCTGAGTAGCAGTTGCCACTAGACGCAGACCTAAGAACAGCCTTCTTTCCAAACTTTCATAAAACCAGTGAACCAAAAGCTAGAGCTGAGTCCGTAGGGCAACTTCTTCCTCATCCCTCCTAACCTTTCGAAGCATCAATTGATCTTCTTTTCATTTTTCAAGGAGCCGTTGCGTTTGTGTTTCCCATTGGCCATGTTCTCATTATGGCAATGTCCATTGGCCATGCTGCCATCATCTCTGACGTTATCTCCTCTGCTGTGGTCCCTGGACCTACCCCTCAGCAATCGTGCCAACCGGCGTAGGGCAAAGACCGCTAGAGCCATGGCAGCCCCTACAGTAATGACCACATCCAGCAGGAAATACTGGTAGAGGGACACCTCGTATACAGCTGAGCGCAGGTGGCTCGCACCGTTGTGACGGAGAATATAGCCGATCCAGTAAACAGCTCTGCTCACAGGGTGGCCTGGTTGATCTTTGTGAATATTGGAGAGATAACGGGCTTGCTGGCGGTACCTAGGTTGGTAGGTAGAGGAAAAGTGAGATGGCATAAAAAATGAGGAAGGAGATTTGTTGAACAAACACTGCAGTCACAACCAAATCAACATATAGCTTAAAATATGAAATATTATAGACACCCTAAATCACAATGACCTGATATCATGAAAGGTCACCAGGGGGTGTGCTACGACGCTAGGAAAAGCTCGAAGTCAGAGTTTCCTGTGTGGCTTTCTTTATCTTGCTAAATCACCATAGTAACTACTGTTGAACACATAACCTAGTCAGGAGGTTATGTTCACTGAGAGAATCGCCAATTCTCTCTTTTAATGCATGTTTTAAGAGCAATGTAAACTCTCTGCAGGGAGAATACGTGTGCAGGTTGTTAAAACATACTTTATTAAAAACACTAAATGAAGCACAAACTGCAGGTAGCAATGCCAGAATGTGCATGTGCAGAAAATATATAAATGTTTTTGTATTTTAGCTATTTTTGAATTGCAGCCACTAAAATACACACCAAGAATATCTGTTCAATCAATAAAGTTAACTGGCAACTAACTAAAGTGATTTCCACGCCTCCGATATTAGGCTATGGGACAGTAACATTTAATGTTTAAACGTATCCAATTAAAAGTTTCAGAGCTCTAATGTGTGGCTGTCATCTTAAAAATAAACAGCAAATGTTTAAAATGTTTATTTGACCACAGTGCGTTAAATCACCAGATTAACTGTTTTCTTCAGCATTAATCTCTTGTCTTAAATCGCAACAATTGCATTTTACTGTTATTTTTTTAATGTTAATTAAAAAATTTTGTCAGGTTTTTTTAATCATCATCGGCACCATCAGATAACATTCACTCAGAGGGATCATTTTGTGCAGAACAGCAGTCACATGATCTGTGAAAAACACCTTTTTATGTGAATGGAGTCTCAAGCATAGAACCCAGCCTAACAGAGAAAGTTGATAACCAACTTCATAATACCCGTTATCTCTGACTTGGGTTTTAGGTTTTAGGTAAGCTAAAACCTAAAACCCTTTTATCAGATCTCACTGATAAAAGCAATAATACACAAAGCAGTACAAGACAAACTAACCTGGTGTCTGTGATGACGCTGCTCAGGGCTGTAAAGAGGTCTTCCTCTGTCATGTATTTCCAGTGCAACATGATTCCCATTCCTTTGGCTGCTACGCGCGTCATAGTATCATAATGGTCTCCAAAAAGAGGTACACCCACCACCGGCACACCATGATACATGGCCTCATAGATGCTATTCAAGCCCCCATGGCTCAGGAACGCTCTTGTGTTAGCGTGACCTAGATGACAAGAAACAACAGGTGATTTTTTTTGTATGTTAGGCATAACATTTTTGACGGGGCTGTTTTGCTAAGGTTAGAAACAGTTTAGAGAAACTGAAACAGCAGCACATAAGGCATCATTCAAAAAGAAAACCAAAAAAAGAAAAAGGAAAACATTTTATGACAGTGGGTAACCATAACACCACAGAAAAACATACATTGTTATTTTTAATTTTATAATGCTTCTCACTGTCCTAGTGTGTGTCCTGCAGGTAAAATGGCATTACATCATCACATAATAAAGTCCTTGCTGTCAGTCATTGAATGTGGCATATTCCTCATCCCTGTCAGGCACAATGAACCTGTGTGTACTCTTTCTGGTGAGGTTAATAAGTATGTGAAGAAGGGATCCATACTACACAAAACCTAGTGAGCTGTACCCACAGGGTGAAACCAACAACTCCTGAGGGATGTGTAAAAATTGTCATCAAGCAGTAGTACAAAAAATTAACGTTCTTGAGAAGACTTTTTTCAAGGTAAATATAATAACAGAAGAGTTCCTACAGTTTTTTAAAATCTTGTTTTTATTTTATTTGAGTTTAGTTTCATTTAGTTTTCAGTGTGAGTTTACATCTTTCAGACTTTTTTGTAATTGTAAAATTTTATATTTGATATTGTGAATTATTGTAATGGGGGCTCTTCATCAGATTAGAATTTAAGAAGGCCTGAACGGGTATTATAACACAAACACCCCTTTGTGGAAACGGTTAACTCACATACATGTTGGCGTTACCGTTTCTAAGAAATGCACTGAGGTCTGCTCATATTTGTTAAATTTGACTAATCTTGCAAAGACAAGATCAAAATTACATGTTCTATATATTTTTAATTTATTTCTCGATGAACATGAACAATGATTTGCAGTTTTAGTTAACTAGAATCACCTCGATCTGATTCACAAACAACATATGTTGATAAAAGAACTGGATGCTACGTTTTTTTTAATGATCTCATGTCCTTACCTAATAAGTCATTCTGAGGCATCCAATCAACAAGCTTGGTGTTGTTGCCAAGGTTACTGGGTGGCACGCCAGAGAATCTGAGGAGGAGGAAACAATGCAGAGGACAAACACTGAAACAATTTATTTTAGTTTTGAGAAGAAAATCTTAAATTTAAGCCAATTGAAAAACAAAAAAAAAACTTCAGGTGCTTTAAGTAAAGTAACAATTTATTAGATTGAATAACGCACTTGCTAACACCTTAATAATGCTTAAAAGTGTGACATTATTTTAAAGTGCTCAGTAAAAATCAAGTAAGAAAGTCCAAGTTTCTTCATACTACACAATGATACATTTATAAAAACAGAACAATCTATATTTTTGGCTTTTGTCACATTTTGATGCAAGTTTTTTAATTTCTTTTTATTTGTTATAGTAGTTTCTTAAAAAGTGTTTGCATGTCACACTGTCTCTTGATTGCAGTTTTCAAATGCTAAATGAGGTCAGTAATATAGAGCACGGTTGGTAGAGCGTGCTGCCAGAAATAGTCTGTTTCCAACCACAGTGACTAACTCCGCACTGTGGTGCAGTGGCAAACAGTGTCGGTGATGTAGCTCAAGCAGTCTAGTGCCATATCTACTAATTACGATTCTTTCTGCTACAATGTATAATTTCTTAACACTTCTAAGACACGGGGGGAGGGGGACAATTTAAATTGTGAAAATATAAAAGAACAAAAGGGGACTACTGAGTGTACAATGACACTCACTGCACAGGTTTTCACCTTGATTACTAATGAACACTTAATGATTAGTGTGAATTTCCACAATAATGTGCTCAGTCAAATTCTTTTTTTTTTTTAACAATGTAGTGTTTTGACACAAAAATTTGGATGTTTAGTCCTAAGAGATCAGAAGTTATCCATAAAGATTATGCGAGTTGTGTTCATCCCTCACATTATTGCAAGGATTAGCCAGACAAATTAGACAAATCCCAGTGACTAACTTTAAAAACAATATAACCGACAGACTAAAGAGACAGTCTAGTCAATGCATTAGTTTAGAAAAAAAAAGAGCTGTAATATATGTAAATGAGGATAATAGTAAATGCCAGACAGACAAGGTCATTTCGAAACTGTAAGAAAACGTATACACAAAATGAATCATGCACAAAATATAGAAAATCTTATCTTTTGAAAAATGAGACCGATACTATGGCAACAGTGAATCTACACTGACCTATATTAACAAATTTAGTTGTTACAATCCACCTGCCAACACCTTTAGCAGCACATAGTAACATTATCTTATTTCTATTTTTTTCCCACCCCTTTTGTCCAGCCTCAAAAACCTTTTTGTTTACTTCGTCTCGGTTTACATTCTTTTACTGATAATCTTTTTCTCTTTGGCTTAATGTGTAACTTCCCCTGGATAATGAGACGGCCCAGTCTTTGTTAATTTTGTTAAATGGTGCGAGTCCTATCGTCAGTTAACCATATCTAAGACAGAAGTACGCATACACAAGAGGTCACATTGTCTAAGGGTCAGATAGTGGAATGTATTTGTTCTCAAAAATATCTCGTAACAGTCACTGACTCTAAACTGAACTTTGAAGCAAACTGTGAAGCTGTGTGCAAAATAAGAGGCTATCATGTTTGAGGAAGCTCTGTCATCTCCACATTGATAAAACCCACTGATGATTTTATCATGCTTCTTTTGAATGTCTTTTGTCCTTTTCCTTGGTATCATATCTGTAATGAACAGAAACTCACTCAATCAAATTGTTAAATGGTCTAACACTCTGATCTGTGAGCCACAGCTGAGCCCAGCACCCCTCTATACCCTGCATTTCCTCAGTATTTTGTATTATGCTTATCTGTTAGCTATGGTCCATGTTTGTATTGAAAAATGGAGAAGAGAATACAAACACACACCTTAATATCACAAAAAACTCTAGGACTGACTCTCAGGTAATAAATCTACATCATTTACCTTTATGCACGTTTCTGTGTGCAAAGTGTAGAAGTAAATTACTGGTCACTAAAACACTTGTCAAGTGGTTTCTGGCTCTCTGTAATATCGCTCTCTGTGAATTATTACTGTAATTATACAACTTAAACACAAATCTGCAAACCATATCTCCAGGGGACTTTAAGCCATTACATAAACTTAATCAATGTTTACATGTGCAAAACAATATTTCTTGATTCAATGATAAAAACTAGCTTTATGGACTACACCAGCTCGCAGTGGTTTTAAATCAGTGCCCCCCAAATCTGCAGTTGTCACAGAGATGTTGACTGGGCTTTTTTGTTCTGCACATTGTGCAACTTAAAAAGTAAATGTTTAAAAAAACCCACAATGTCCAGTTGTGCTTACTCTTGATCTATTGTTTTATGTAAAGCATTTAGAATTACCTTGAGGTTGAAAGCACCTGGACAAATGAACTTGATTTGCATCAACAAAAGCTGAAAAGCAAAAGTGCTTTTGTACTCACAGGTGTTTAGGTTCTTCTAAGTGCTTGTGCATGTCTGCATGTAAGCGTCAACAGAAAAATTTTTATATACTTTTTTTTATGTCTTTGACATTGAAAATGTTAAGTGGTGGAAGCAAAACATTAAAATTAATTACATATTTTTTCTGACTGACATTTCTGGCAAGAATCCCTTTGACTGTCTACAGCGCCCGAGACATAAAACAGAGATACATACATTTTTTGTTGCAAAATTACATAAGCATAGCAAGTACCTATAGAGCTTCAAACAACATCACCATCATTGATCAGGTGGAATTCCTTGCGGTTGTGCCACGTGACTTACTGCTTGGAACAGTATGTTTACTTAAATAACAAAAGTCTTTCCAATAAGCTGACATTTTCCTAGAGCCACCAGACATGCAAAGTTTACCGAGCCAGCCTACTTCAATTTTGCCACCACTTTATATGTACACAGCACATTTTAAAGGTAGTGTTTACAAACTAAAAACTAAAGCAAAACTCATGAACTTAATCATCATAGGTCTCATGTTTATTTCTGGGGCACCCTGACCTCCAAGACAGAAAAAAAAACAATACTTATAATTTCTTGGTTCATTTTAAATATATCAAAAATAAAACAATTCCATTGTATTTTACTTTGAATTTAATATTCATTACTTAAATACCATTTTCAATTCTCTTCTTAGTCTGCTCATTCAAATGGATGATTGTGCCATGTGGCAATTTTGAGTTTTAGGTGAAAAAACATAAAACAATATGTATAATTTGAAATGTACTGATAAAATGTATTTTTACTAAACAGATTCAACTCCACAAACCACTTCCTACATTTAAACTGATCACTTTTTTAAAAAGAAAATAATGCACTCGACTCAAAAATATGCAGATCATGCCACTGACTAAATACTCCTGTGTTTTTTGTGTGGGGAGGCATTTCCGCACATTCAGCATATGCATGCTACATTATGACTCCCATCTGTCCATCTCTGTCTGCTTCCCTCCCCAGCCCAAACTCTTTCATCTGTCTTTAACAAAGCACCAATTCACTGTCCTGCCCATCAAAGCCTACATTCATGGAGCCAATTATCAATGACACGATTCATTTGGCTGGCTCCCTGATGCTGTCATCAGCCTTCTTCCTTTTTAACCTCTTAGTTTAGAAGGGACACTAAAAGCTGCATTACCATACAATATCACATAACTGTTGCCCTTTAAAAGAGGATCTTGCCTGTTTGCAATCTTTGTTTGTTCTCTCCTGTGATGAGATTTCTGTATAAAAAGCCTGATTATCATACCATGAAAAATTAGGGAAGTGAAAATAGGGAATGTGTTTCATTTTACTATACACAAGAAAAGAGATGATTCTGTATCATAAAATGTTGCACACATAAACACAACCCGCATTACAACAAAAACAGTGCTTTTTTTTGTTTTGT